CCTGACCTTGACTGTTCGGCAGCAGGTTCGTCTCACTCTTCTATCACATCATGTATCCTGTGTTCACGTACAGAGCTCAGCAAATGGGAGTACCGTGTACGCAAGATAGAACGTCCACAGTTAATGCATACACATTGATGGCCCACATTAGCAGCAGCTCAACGATTTTCCATTCCTAATGAATCATTCGCAAGGTTCCAGCATGCTTCGCATAAATGATCTGAATGGTCAACCTATGAATAATAATCATTATTATCATCAGCCAGTCTACAAATAAACAGGTGTTAGACTGGTAGATTCAAGGATACAATTAGTAGGCTCTACTCGGCTACAAATAATTAGGTATGTGCTATACCTAATTATTTGTTAGGCTCAATTCACTCTTAAGATCAAGCGGAATAGTAATAGAAAACATATTAAAACGAATATTAATGTCAATTATGCACACTAACAATAACAACAGAAATAACAATAGGGCTGTATTAATAGATGCGGTCTTGAGAAGCTATTTTGTATGAAAAAAAATAAAAACTTTCAGTAAATATCCAGATGTTGACTTACTCGGTAGTGTTTGACTTTCACACGAGCTTGTAAAAGCCTAGACTGAATAAATGAGTTTGAGTTTGACTATCAGAACCACTTGTCCAATCAGCATCTGCATACCCCATCAACGGCTTAATAACGATATCCTTATCATACACTAAAGCATAACCTACAGTTTTCTTAGCATATCTCAACAATCTCTTAAGAACTGTCCAAAAATTAACACTTGGTTTCGACTGAAAAATAATAATCAGACGCTGCTAAGTCAGGTCTTGTGTCCACAGTGGCATACATAAGTGAACCAATTGAAGATCTATATTTCTTTTCATATGATATATCAACTATATTTATTCTAAAACTTACACATATTTACATTTAAATAACAAAAACTTAAAAATTACATGATTACTAAAATTTTCATTCCAAATAACCTTAACTTACTTAACTACTACTTAATGTCTAAAAACTCAAAAACCAGAAATAACTAACTATACAATTTACAAAATAAAAAATATATCACCCCCAGCGCCGCTGTCAGGAATGGTGCCCAATAGGCTGGCAGCATTTCCTCGTTGGATAGCAAGGCTAATCCGTTGACCAAGGTAGCTGCCAGTCTTTTGATCACCGGTCGCCTCGGAGAGTCTCTTAGACAATTCCTTAAAGAAGGAACGAGCGCTTGGCCCCCTATGGTCCCATAGTCTCCACACCAAACAGCACAAATATATAGTTCTCATTGAGAGTTGAATATTTGCGCCGCTTGGAGCACTCATTGCACGTGTCAGCCAATTGATAATGTGAAACAACATATATATGTGGGTCTTTTGATTGACGAGAGATTTTGCTGGGGACCTCACAAAGATTACGTATGCGCCAAGTTAAGATCAATCGCGAGTAGACTATCTATATTAAAAAATAAACTACCATACAGAACCCTTAGACTCATATATTTGTCCCTAGCTGAATCTGTTGTAAGTTATGGCCTAAGTAGTTATGGAAGAACTTATAAGACATACATAGAGGAAATTCAGTATAAAATGCTAAAGATATTGTACCCAAATATATAAAAGTTAAATATAGAGGTAACGCACAAGAATTGTTTCGATATTGTAATGTGATGAATGTTTATGACAAGGTAAAATACGTAATTCTAACCGAATGTAACGAGACTAAGTACTTGAATATTATTAAGAGACCAGATAATCTGAGAAATGTGTTGGATCGTAGAAAGTTTTTGTTGCCGAAATGTAATAATGTCCACGGAAATAGAAAGCTATGTTATTTAATACCTTCCTATCTTAATGAATTGCCTAGTAATCTACAGGAAATGTACTCGAACATTGTAATCAATAAATATAAATATAAATTAAAAAGACATTACTTAAAAAATAGTCAACTTGAAAGTGTATAAAGTGGTAAATGAGTGGCTCCCATACACATATAAACCTTAACAGGTTTTCGTGTATGGTTTTTTTTAATTGTATGTGTATGATTGTATTTGATAATAAAATAAATAAATAAATAATAAATAAATAAACATAAATCATTCTCAACAGTTTTATTTTTTAATCCTGACAGACCATGAACCATATCCTTTTGTATTAATAAGTGTTAACATTCCTAAATGGTCAAACCTTCTATGCCACAACTAAGATTCATATTTATTAATTTTGACTACAAAATTAAGTGTTTAGAGTGCCGGTGTTTTTCCAATCATTATTTGTTCATTATGGTTATAAATTCTTACCTTTCCTTGGTCAAAGTTCACACTCATGCCTGCAATCTCCATTTAGAAACCGATAACAAATTTTTCCTTAGTTCAGGTGCAAAATAAACTTTTTATTGTAAACATAGGTGTTCTTTGTTTCCTACTGTGCTTATTACTTCTATATTACCTATGCCTATTGCTTTTAAATGCACACCATTTTTAGCAGATGCATTTCTTCTTGGTTTTTTCAATTCTAAATAGTTAATAAAAAAGTCTGTAGAGTTTATTAAATGATCTAACTACCCAGAATCTACATAAAACTCAAAAAACGCACCACTTTTTTCACTTTCCACTTGTTCGCCACTCAAAAAAGCACCACTATAATTATTTGTACCTTGACCTGCTCCTTTGCCTCTAACCTCGACCACGGTTGCCTCCTCATCCACGTCCTATATTATAACCTTGTACTTGATAATTGAATGTACTTACTCCTTGATGCTGACCTGAATATCCTTGATTATTCCCATAATAATTTCCTCTTCCTCTGTTTCCGTTCCCTCTTTGTTTACATTAGAATTTCTTGTGACCCGGTTTTCCACATATAAAGCAATTAAGTGAGTCAGGGCAGCAACCTAGGCCCATTAGAATTTATCGTTATGATAAATGACCTGCCAGAAGTGGTCAAGTATGCTCGATGTTTACTTTTCGCAGATGATCTGAAATTGTTGTGGGCCGTTAAGGACTACGAGGATTGTGAACGGTTACAAGGAGACATTGACAGGGTGGTGGAGTGGAGTCGAAAAAATAAACTGCAGTTTAATATTAACAAATGCTCCATAATATCTTTTAGTAGAGCACAAACTCCGCTCCACTTCGACTACAAAATTGAAAATTCAAAATTACATAGGACTGAGACAGTCAGAGATTTGGGAGTACAATTAAATCACAAATTGAATTTTAAAGATCATATTACGAATATTTGTAAAAAAGCTTACAGAAGTTTGGGTTTCGTTTTGCGTCATTCAGTAGGTTTTACGAATATGAAAGCGATTGCGGCCCTGTATAATGCGCATATACGAAGTCAGCTCGAATTCAACGCGATAGTATGGGCTCCACACGAAACAAAGTATAGACAAATGATGGAGCGCATACAAAATAAATACACGAGATACTTATACCTAAAGTTATACGGAGTGTACCCTTTCTATCCGTTGATGTACCCAACCTTGTTCGTATTGGGCATGGTCGGTTACAACAAGTTGGAGACAAGAAGGGAATTGGCACTTGCTGATTACATAGTCAGGGTGTTGCGAGGCATTACCTGCAACCCAAATATATTAGGATTGCTAAATTTATGCGTGCCTAGTAGATAAGTGTGGCGGCGCCGGCGGCCGCAGCTTCTCGCGGTGCCGCGCGCCCGCACTCGCCTGCTGGCCACCGCACCTCTGACGCGAACAATACACACGCTCAATGTAGTTGCCGAGTCTATCGATTTGTTCACCTGTTCGATTGGCGAGTTTACGAAAGTAACTTTAAAAGTGTTGTGCTATAAATAACATTATTGACTTTTTTACTGGAATATATTTTTATTTATTTTGAGAAATGTATTATGAATTTTAGATTTTATGGACAATATTTGTAATGCATCCTAAATTGAAGTTATTTTTTTTAGGAGGTAGATGGCGCTAGCCGTCGTGTAAACATCGAATGTGCATATATTTACGTGTTAAAAATATTAATTTCGTAGTAAATATAACAAATTGAGTCTCAATCCACGTCTCAACATCCAATAGTGCCGGAATAGTGTTATCTCTGAAAACCATAATTATTCAACGTCTAAAAAAGTAAATTACAAAAAAGTTGTTACTGGTACTGTGATTTAAAAAATAAAAGTGATACAAGTGATATATTGTGATAAAGTAAAGTGAAAAAAATCTATGTTTATGTGGTCAGAATAAACAGAGTATCCTTGTAAACAAATCATAAAGTAAGAGTGTTACATTAAAAATAATCAAAATATTTCGCATTCAGCTGAGTCATGCCCGCAATGATAATAATAAATATTGAGGACATCTAGTGACATCTATTGAACTACACCAAAACCACTCGAATAAAACTTGACCAAAGCGACATCTGGTGAGCTTTACTTATTAAAACTATTGATAGCAAAATCGGAAAGCATACTCAATAACAATAATGCGACTATACCACCGAATGTGATTTCTATTTTCGTCATATTCAGCAATCGTAGCTTGGAGTAAAGGATAAGACATCACTTCGATACCCAAAGGTCCGTGATTCAAATCACGAAGTGAATCGAAAAATTTTTTTAATGGATCTTATTTGGACAACTTAATAAAAATGAATAGAAATCAGAATAGAACTTTGTCCATTACTTGCTCATTGTGCAAAACACTATACAAATTACACGATACAGAAGTGTCGGAAAAAAGATATGCCCTTATGACCAATGATAATAAAATGACTTGGAAATGTAATAAATGTTGTACGAGATCACCGATTCCATCAAACAGTAATATAAACACTGCAAAACGATACAAGCGCTCAAAATCAATAAGCCCAGACCGTGACGAAAGCAGCTATAGCTCTTTAACATTAGAATGTTCTATGAAAAGTGTATCAAACAAATCCATAAATGAAAGCCCAATAACAGGAATGAAAGAACAAATACGCTTATTACGACAAGAACTAGCAACAGCACATAATGAGATTAAGGCTTTATTATCAGAGAATGCAAGAAATTAATATCAGCCCTCTTAGGAAACGAAACGGCAAGAATAATAGTATTTTATCGCCGATTCTACGTCCTCCAACTGCCTCAGCTACAACACCAAAAACAAAGGCAATACATCAAAGCACGCCTATAACCAAGTTAGCCCAAATCAAGACAACCACAATAGAAGAACGAAATGCGACATTAACTAAGACTAATAATGTAATGAAATGCGTGTCCAATGATAAATTGTCAAATAATTTAAATGTTAAGCCCACAGAACCTCATAAAGTATTAATTTTTGGAGATGATGAGGCGAAAGGTACATGTAAACTTTTACAGTCTCTTTTGGGAGACCATTTCAAAGTATTGTCTTTATTGAAGCCAGGAGCAAAAGTTGAACAAATATTGAACTCATGTTTGTCTCTCTGTGATGGCCTAACTAGATCGGACTATGTTATTATAATTGGAGGGTCCAATGATGTTAATCCTATGGAACTGCAGAGTTATTTGTATTTTTATATTAGCAAACTTAATAATACCAATGTCATATTATCTCAAATATTCAAAAATGAAAGAATGAATAACCAAATACTATGTAATTTATATCGACATTTGTGTAATCAGTTTGGGTGGTGTACTTATGTTGGGTATACGTTTGGCAGATATTATAATAATTACTCTAGAGTTACCGACTTATGTAGGAACCTTTTAAGAACTATATTAAATAGAGAATATGCTAGGAAATATAGTAAATACAGGGAATCAATAAAATTAAACAAAATATTAAAAGATTCCAAAAAAATCTATGTAACGAAACAAACAGTAGGAACCCAAACTAGCGATGACAGCTTTTTTCTTGGCGACGAATGATTATTTCAGAATATTTCATCAAAATATAATGAGTTTAAAAAGCAAATACAATGACATAGAAATATATTTACATACAATTGACATAGAAATAGACATATTATGTTTTTCAGAGACATTTGTTATGAATTCAGACCTAAATAGTATTAAATTTAGTAATTATAATTTAGCTTCTAACTATTCCCGTGGACAAACAAGCAGAGGTGGTGTTTGCATATTTATAAAGAAATCCCTAGAATTTAAAAAAATACACTGGTTAAATGACTTTGCTTGTGATAGAATTTTCGAATGCTGTGGTATTACGATTTCAGAACCGAATCTAGTAATAATATGTATTTATAGGCCCCCAAACAGTGATTTCGGGATATTCTTAGAAAGACTTGATAGGGTGCTTTTTAAAATCTTGCGAAAATCGCGAAAAATGACTCGTAAACTTATATTGGTTGGAGATTTTAATATAAATATTTTAGAAGCTAATAAACACAGCAAACTGTTGATATCTTTATTAATGACATATAATATGAAATGCACAATAAATGAACCAACTCGTATCACACCTACATCCAGCACTTGTATTGACAATATCATAACTAATTTCAGTAAACATAATACAAAGGTATTAAATAATGGATTATCAGACCACACTGGTCAAATGATATCGTTTCCTTACACTCGAAAACATGAATGTAGATACTGGTATGAGAATAAAAGAATAATTGACATCAACCTAGACATCTTCAAAAAATATATCTCACAGGTCAGTTTTGCGGAAGTATATGAACAAAATGATGTAAATTCGGCTTATGATAAATTTATAGAAATATTTAAAATGATTTTTGATATTTGTTTTCCTATACAACGGTATAAAATGACCCATAGAGTAAAACCAAATTGGTTTACTAAGGGTATAAAAATATCATGTAGGAGAAAGCGAGAGCTACATAAAGCAATATTAAAACGAAGAAATCTAAGCAATATATATACATATAAAAAATATAAAACGAAATTAAAACACGTGATTGCTTATTCTAAAAGGCAGAGTAATTTGAAATATATTAGGAAAAGTACTAATAAAGCAAAAGCCACATGGGGTCTAATAAAATTACATACAACACAAAAAACTAAATTAAAAGAATCAATAAAAACATTAAAAAATAACGATATAATTTTAACTCAACCGCAAAACATAGCCAACTATTTAAATGATTACTATGTCAAATTAAACGCAAATAATACAACCCATAACCAATACATTCCCCGTAACACCTCTTTGACTAATAGCATATTTCTAAAACCCACAACTTTAAATGAAATAAAAGACTGCAATAAAAAGCTTAAAAATAAAAAAAGTTGTGGATATGACGGAATATCCATTCAAATAATAAAATCATGTATGTATGTATGATGATAGAAAAATGCTGTTTCCCTGACAGTTTAAAAATTGCTATTATAAAACCAATACATAAAAAAGGACCTCGCGACTTGGCAAGCAATTACAGACCAATTGCTCTACTTCCAGCGTTTTCAAAAATATTTGAAAAGGTTTTATACACGAGATTAATGGAATTTATTGAGAAGAATAATATACTAAATAATAGCCAATTTGGATTTAGAAAGGATTTGTCAACATCCTCGGCGGTCTATAGTTTTTTAAAACATGTGTGGAAATCAATAGATGAAAAAAAATACTGTGCAGCCTTGTTCATTGATATGTCACGTGCTTTTGATTGCGTTGTTCATTCTATTCTGCTTAAAAAACTTGAGCATATTGGAATTCGAGGTTGCGCGTTAAAACTAATAGAGTCATATCTTTTTAAAAGAATGCAAACAGTAAATTTGACATATTTGGATAGGAAAACAAAAACTTTGCAGGAAACCAAATCAGAATATGAAATGAAATGAAATGAAATGAAAAAACCTTTGAATATCAAATAATTCCAATAGGTGTGCCGCAGGGCAGCATTCTAGGGTCATTATTTTTCCTTGTCTACATCAATGAGCTACCAAATATTATTAAAGATCTATGTACAATGTATGCTGATGACGCGACTATTTTATTTGTTAAGAATGACGATATGTGTAAGAATGACTATGAACTTAATATATCTCTGACATTACAAAATCTGACAACTTGGCTTAAATCAATCAATTTAACAGTTATTTTAATAAAAACTAACATTCTACAACTTAGAAATTATAAAAAAGAACCTTTGGACCTTAAAATTGCGGTAAATGGCACCAAAATAAAAGAAGTAGAATATGCTAATTTCCTTGGTATTACCATAGATACTCACTTGAATTGGAAACATCAAATAGAGAAAATTAATGACAAAATAAGTAGCTATTGTTACGCCCTGTCAGTGTTGACCGATATATCATCCACTGAAGTAGCATTAAATGCTTATTATGGTAATATATATTCCATATTAAGCTATGGTATCATATTTTGGGGCAATTCTGTTAATGTTGAAAGTACATTCCTATTACAAAAAAGGTGTTTAAGAATAATTTTTAATAAATATAGTGACGAATCAATGCGTAATATTTTTAAAGAAAAACAAATTTTAACATTGGCCTGTATTTATATATTAGAAATGTGTAAATTTTTAAGATGTCATATGTCTGAATTCTCAAAAATCTCTGACAAGAGAGCTAGAATAACCCCGATGAGACGTGAAGACAAATTACATTTACCTCGGTCAAATTCAGCAATTTTTGAAAAAAGTACTTATATGTCTGCCATACGAATATACAACAATTTACCGCCTTATCTGCGGTCACTTCCGGAATCTAAGTTTGTAAGGTCCCTGAAGCAATGGCTATTATATAATGCATTTTATAATCTTAATGAATATTTTAATAATAATGTTTTTTAAAAATGACTATTGCATGCCCGATTAGGGTAACTGTCTATTTCAATTATGTGCACTAACATCTAGCAGTAATACTAAATGTAACAGTTTTGCAATAAAGAATTATTCTATTCTATTCTATTTATTTTTATAGATTTTTAATTGACATTTGCTTACATTGACATTGTTTTTTTCTTTTATTTATTTTTATTGACATTTATTGACATTTATATATAATTTACAACATTGAAATAATATTGTTAATAATTAATGTAATTTTATAAGAATTTATAGTTAGCTTCAAAGGACGACTACACTATTGAATTAGGTATATACCTGTTATAATGGTGTAATGTATTTTGAATAAATAAATAAATAAATAAAATAAAAATAAATGCATTTGTTGCATTCACGTATCTTTTAGGGCTTTCTTTCTATTCTCCTCTTCCGCTAACAATCTATCAATAACCATGTTCAACGAAAAATCTCCAATTGTTTCTAGTGCAGTTACCACAGACTCATATGACTTTGGCATTGATAGCAATATGTAATTTACTTTTTCTTTCTCACTCAACCGTGTGTCAGCTTCTTCTGTGTACAAATTTACCTAATTTTAACAAAATGTTCCTTTAATGGCTTAGCTTCCTGATATTTTATTTCACTTAACTGTCTTCTTAAAAACGATTTGCTTCTTGTGTCTTTTTCTTTTAAGTTTTGCTCCAGGTTCCTGAAGATTAAATAAGCCGAGTCATGTCGGACATATCAACTCTGTGTCAACTTTATCGTTGAATGAATATGGAATAGGTCTAGGCTTTGCAAAAATTGGCTTATAATTCTCTATCAATTCTTATTCAACTTCCTCACCTTTGATAACCCCTAGTTTATTTTTAAAAACTTCAGCATATTCCTCTAAAATGTTATGTAAATTAGAAATGTCTACAGAATTTAAAATACACTTTTTCATGTCAATACTGAAAAGTTTGATCAAATCTCGGCCAAAAAGATTTCGACAACCACTTTTAACAACTAATAGAGAACTGATATTTTTTGTATTATTTAACTCTATTTGAACTATAATCTCCTCTAAAGGTTTTAATAACTGACCAATATAAGTCTTTAAATCTAAATCAGTTTGTTTTAATTTAATATTATGTAACGTTCTTTTAATAAGAAAACCAAAGTCCTTTTGGTTTAAAAGAGTTTACTTTCACCAGTTAACACTATACAATGGAGAGCGTAACAATCGTCAATACGTAGTGGCTTCGTACGGCTAACTGACTACTAAAATGGTGGCATCGCGAGAGGGGGCCGCGCGGAGCGCGGTCCGACTCCGGCGCATCGGCGGGAAGCGCTCTGATTGGTTGAGAGGCGCGCGGTACACGGTCCGATGCGTGCGTTTGGCGGGAAGCGCTCCGATTGGTTGTGGCTGTGTCAGTGCAGGCAACACAATGGACGCGCATCGCGGACGTTCAGCCAACATCGCGTAAGAAAACTAGAGATGCGCGCTACATCACTTGTAACGTTCTTTTAATAAGAAAACCAAAGTCCTTTTGGTTTAAAAGAGTTTACTTTCACCAGTTAACACTATACAATGGAGAGCGTAACAATCGTCAATACGTAGTGGCTTCGTACGGCTAACTGACTACTAAAATGGTGGCATCGCGAGAGGGGGCCGCGCGGAGCGCGGTCCGACTCCGGCGCATCGGCGGGAAGCGCTCTGATTGGTTGAGGGGCGCGCGGTACACGGTCCGATGCGTGCGTTTGGCGGGAAGCGCTCCGATTGGTTGTGGCTGTGTCAGTGCAGGCAACACAATGGACGCGCATCGCGGACGTTCAGCCAACATCGCGTAAGAAAACTAGAGATGCGCGCTACAATTATGAAATTTTTCTTTATAAACAGTCTCCGGAATACATGAGACAGCTGCACCTGTATCAAGCTCCATTGTTATTGGTTTTGAATTTACATGACATTTTATCATATATGGTGAAATGTAACCAATATCTTTGTTTTGTGTTATTGTAAAAATGTCAACGCAATCTTGTTCTTTGTCCAAATTATGTGTGGCTCTACTTTTACATATTGAAGCTAAATGCCCTATTTTATGACAGTTTTTACATTTGTATGTTTTGTATTTACACTTTGCAAATGTATGGTTACCTTTACCGCAGTGAACACATTTTAATATATTTTTTGGACCCTTGTAGTCTCCTGTCACTGGCTTACTTTTTACTTTCTCAACTTTATTTACTGAAATGCTCGATTGTTTACAAGCTGCTTTCTTATGTAATGCAATTTCCAATAACTCCTTAATGTTTTTTACACACCGACACCGGCTCCTCACATAATCTATCTTGTAAAAGACCTGGCTTCAAACCTGTAACAAATTTGTCTTTAACTCGCTCCTCCACACCCTGGGAGAAGTTGCATTCAGCTGCTGCTTCTTTAATGCAAGCATACCATTTTGAAACATTTTCCTCATCATCTTGTTTTAAATTGTCAAATAAAATTCGTTTTCTATAGTGCGAAGTTCTGACTTGAAATCGCAACTTCAATGTTTCTTCAATCTCTTTATAAGTTTTCTCTTTCGGCAACTTGGGATGCACCATGCTCTTCAAAATTTTGTAAACGTTTTCATTTAATGAAGTATCATTCATCATCATCATCAACAGCCTATCCTAGTCCACTGCTGGACATAGGCCTCTCCAATTGCACGCCACTCAGATCGATTTTGGGCTACTCGCATCCAGCTCCTGCCAGCCACCTTGCGCAAATCGTCACTCCACCGTGCCTGAGGACGTCCTACACTACGTTTGCCTAGACGCGGTCTCCACTCCAGAACTCGTCTACCCCAACGGTTATCGGTTCTTCGGCAAATATGGCCAGCCCACTGCCACTTCAGCTTACTAATCCGGTGGGCCATGTCGATAACTCTGGTTCTCTGTCGGATTATCTCATTTCTGATGCGATCCTTCAGAGAAACGCCGAGCATAGCCCTTTCCATAGCGCGCTGAGCGACTTTGAACCTGTGGACCAGCCGTACCGTCAGTGTCCACGTCTCGGCTCCGTATGTCATCACAGGTAGGACGCACTGATTGAAGACTTTCGTCTTTAGGCACTGTGGGATCGACGATGTCAAGACTTGACGTAGCTTCCCAAACGCTGCCCAACCCAGCCGAATTCTTCTATTCACCTCGTCCTCAAAGTTGTTTCTACCTAACTGCAATGTCTGCCCGAGGTATACATATTTTTGAACAACTTCGAGAACGGCACCGTGTATTGCAATCGGTTCCGGTAGAACATGTTCATTGAACATGACCTTGGTTTTATCCAAGTTCATCCGTAGGCCGATGCGTATGGAAGAGTCAGCTAGGTCATTCAGCATTTTTTGTAGGTCCTGCAGGGTTTCTGCCATGATGACGATGTCGTCTGCAAATCGCAAGTGAGAGATGCGTTCGCCATTGATGTTGATGCCATGTCCTTTCCAGTTCAGCGTCTTGAACATATCCTCCATTGCATTAGTGAACAATTTCGGGGAAATAACGTCCCCTTGTCTCACTCCACGATGCAACGGTATGGGACTTGTTTGCTGATTCTGTACTTCGACAGACATGGTGGCGGCTTCGTAGAGACATCTAATCACTTGGATGTATCGCCAGTCGACTTGGCAACGCTGCAGGGACTCCAGGACAGACCAGATTTCAATCGAGTCAAAGGCCTTCTCATAGTCCACAAATGCTAGGCACAGAGGCTGATTGTACTCTTCAGTCTTCTGTATAATCTGCCGTACTGCGTGGATGTGGTCTATGGTGTCGTATCCGCTCCGAAATCCAGCCTGTTCCGGTGGTTGGAAGTCATCAAGTCTTCGCGCCAGACGGTTCGTGATCACTCTTGAGAACAGCTTATAGACGTGGCTTAGAAGGGATATGGGTCGATAGTTCTTGAGTAGGGTCTTGTCCCCCTTTTTAAAGAACAAGACGACCACACTCCTACTCCACATCTCCGGAGTTCTCCCTTCGAACAGGACAGTGTTAAAAAGCTTTTGGAGCTCCCTCAGTACGGGTTTACCTCCAGCTTTCAAGAGTTCTGTTGTAACACCATCCTCTCCACGGGCTTTTCCATTTTTAAGCTGCCCAAGAGCAATCTCAATTTCGCCAATACTGACTTCTGGCAGGTCTTCGGTGAAGTGACGCGTTAATGTGGCTCTAGAATCCTCATTTCCGGGATCTGGTCGAGATGCATGTGATGCGTACAACTGGCCGTAGAAGTCTTCCACTTCCGAAAGGACTGCCGGCTTTGAAGCAACAACTTCCCTACTTGGTGTGGTCAACTTCGTCAGATGACTTCTTCCAAGAGATTGTACGAACACTTTGGACCCTCGATTCTGCTCGATCGCTCTCTCGATCGAGAGAGTATTGGAGCACCGGAGGTCATGTCGTACGTGCTTACTGATCTCTTGGTTTAGAGTCCGCTTTGCTGACGAAGTGACGGGTGGATTTTCACGTCGTTCCTTCATTAGCCCTAAAGTCTCTTCGGAAAGCTTTGACTTCCTACCCTTACGCTGCGTTGCACATACTCTCGTACCGTCTTCCATGAGGATCCGAACCACATTTTCGAGGTTTTGGTTTACGTCTGATGTGGTTTCCACGGCAGCAAATCGGTTCTCCAGATTTGACTGGAACGTTTCAGATCCTGTTATAGATTGGAGCAGAGTAGGTCGGAGCCTGGATTTCATCAAACGGACGCGCTCGGCCTTAAAGTTGATATTCAGAGAACCCCGGACGAGTCGGTGATCACTACCTGTATTGAACCTGTTGATCACGGAGACGTCTCTGAATATATACCTCTTGTCCGTCATGATGAAATCGATCTCATTTTTAGTCATAGTGTCGGGGCTTTGCCACGTCCACTTCCTTTGGGGCTGTTTCTTAAAGAAAGAGTTCATCAAGAAGAGCCCTTCCCGTTCGAGGAAGTTGACGAGCATTTGCCCCCTATGATTTCTGCTTCCAAATCCATGGGATCCTACTACCGATTCGCTGCAATTCTGTACTCCCACTTTAGCGTTGAAGTCACCCATAACAACGTTGTAGTGGGTCTTAGTAGTGGAGTGGAGGGCCCTCGATATATCATCGAACATATCCTCCACTTCGTCGTCAGAGTGTGTCGAGGTCGGTGCGTACACTTGCACCACCTTGAGGCTATACCTCTCGGTGAGCTTTATAATGAGGTACACTACCCTGTTCGACACGCTGGACATTTCCACAACGTTATCGGCAAGGGACTTATTCACCAAAAACCCAAGCCACCTTGGGACTGTTGGTCTCCCCCACGGAAGTACATTAGGTGGCCTGATTCGAGCGTTATGGTGTCCTCCCCCTCTCTTCGGACTTCACTTAACCCTAAAATGTGCCACCTAATCTTCCCAAGTTCCACCTCGAGTTGCGCCAGATGCGAGTCAAGCCGAAGCGTGCGTCCGTTGTACGTTGCCAGGGTCAGTCTATTGTGGTGGCCTCCCGTAGCCCGGAGATTCTTGGCACCCCCTGCCCCGCCGTCACCGTGGTCGCCACCGTGACCAGGAATAGCGCAGCTGCCGGGAACTGGGGGCCGTGGCTTGTGGTTTGTTTGCATTGAAGGTTTTGCCCATAATCGCCACGCTGGGCAGGCGGGTTGGCGATCGCAGAACGTAGGTTAATTCACTGATGACGCTGCTGCCCGTCACCAGTGAGACTTCCCTCCCCTACGTCGTTGGATGGTTATACCGCCATCGGTCGGTTTGCCAGAGCCTCGTCTGTTGTTCAACAGGGTGCACCGCGTGAAGGTGAGGTTGGCTTGGGTTCTTGCAGGTGTATTTAGAACCCCTTACACCCTAAGTATCATTACTGTTAGTAAACAGTGTATAATATACTTCTCTTCCCCTAGCCATTTTCTCTATGAGAGCATGAACAGAATCTCCTTCATTTTGCGTATGACCCTTTTCTAAAACACGATGGCAGATCTTGATTTTGAAAATATTAGCGGCCAATAAGTACATGTAATATACAATGCGATTGCGGTTTTGTCCACCACAATTGTCAGACCATAAATTGATTTCAGATATTCCTTTAGAAACTAGCTTAGAGAAGAAATCGCATAAACAACTGGCTACTTCGTTAGCGCCCCTTTTAGCAATTTGTTCGTTCCACATGTAACAAAAAGCTTCTTTAGAAGCCAGTTCAAAAATCGTAAAATTATACACATTAAGCTTACGCCTATAAAAGTAAACGCTGATATTACCATGAGGTGCGCTAAATCAATACCTTTTGAAAATCAAATACAATGCATGCTACTTTGTTGTTAGATATAGCTAAAATTTTAGTTTCTAATTTTAATTTACGTGAAAATTCTTTTTCGTTTTGGTGCTTAGCAAAATTTTCCTTTTGTTCATCTGTAGGACTAGACGTGTTCTTAAATTGATGACAGAGGTCGCACTGATCTTTTTTTGGCAAATGAAAACCTATCTTCATATTAGTATTAACTATATCCCTATAAGGTCTTACTGTCCCTACTTTATCATTATAATTATTTTTGAACACCATTCTGCATACAATTTATACATTTTCGAAAATGATAAAGAAGAACCTAAATATTTTTTGTTTGATCGCTACCTGACATAATGAGATTCAACAGGTATGAAAGAGTTAACGTGATCAATAACGCTTTGTTTCATTAAATTGGTAATTATGGAGGCATGATTTTTATGTCGACCTCTGTCATCATTAATATCTACAAAATCATTGCAGTCCTTGTTTTTGTGTAATGCGGTATAAACAAACTCTTTGCTTATATTAAAGGTATTTAAAAACATGGTTTTACATACTTTTTGTGAAGAAATACTATCAGTTACAGGATCGTGTAAAGGAAGATGATAATGTAAAGTGTATGAACGGCGACTAGTTTCTTCTAGATTAGTGGCGGTCTTTTTGTTTTTTTGCATAACATATTTTGCTATTATTTGCCATTGTTTGACGTGGCTACCTGTTTCCCAAAACTGGGAAAAAAGCTCCATGCGTGATTCATCTTTAATTTTTTCGTAACAACGTAGACGGCAGGTTGTACTACAACCAGCTTTCATTCTTCTTGCATCTTTCCTGATTCCTTTAGTTGAAATGTATGGCATTCCTTTATTATACAAACGTTGCCTTTTTTTAGACAGCCAATCATCTTGGTGCTTGAGACGCTTTAATCCTAAATCAGTTCTTTTTTTGGATCTACGCTTAATTTTTGGAGTTGACACATCAGTATAGTCACTTTCATTTAATGTTCCAGGCGAAAAAATAGAAGACGTCTGAGGGGAATCTAAATTTGAAAGAGTTTCAATATTCTGTCTATGAGTATTATCCATTGGAGAGTCAGAACTTAAATTATCATCACAGTAAGGTGATGGGACTGGTGTAAAATCTTCTTCATTACAATTTTGATTGTCAATACTCACAGAAAACAAAGGTTCCACTGACTGAGGAGTCATCGCTATTGAAAAGGGTTTGTTAATATCAGCAGCAAAAGTAGGCGAACTTAACATTGGAGTACTCGGAGGCCTCGCGATATTTAAGTTGATATCAGGTTGTAGTATTAAATTATCATTGTTTATCAATGAATAAAATGGTGGGGACTCACAATTTTTATCACTTGTACAGCCATTATTTTCCCAAGAGTCACGTTCGTTTATTTTTGAGGAGTCATCAAATACATGATGTAACAAACTTCTGAATTCGGGCGTTTCTGTTTCAAAAGGTAATGGCGAGGACTCTGCAACAATATTTTATTAAGTAACTACTTTATATATAATTAATAAGTGAGCAATAAATAGTATACTCGCATCAACTTGTACCTACTTAAGCGACTAGATAACGTAAAAATATCACTACATATTATAAAACAAAGTTCTTCGCTTGACTGCGCGCGCATCTTTGGGCGGCCGCTAGTACAAACTAAATATCTATATGATCATCGTTAGAATCCGTAAATTCATTTGGATAGGTATTTAAAACCTTATAAAAAAACTAGTGGTCGCCCGCTGTTTCACCCGCGTGATTATAGATTTTTCAACCCCTACTTAAGGGATGCATTCCAAAATAAAACTATCCTATTTATATTCAAACTATCTCTATGCCAAATTTCATTGAAAACGGTTCAGTAGTTTTGTCGTGAATACGTAACAGACAGACAAACAGAGTTATTTTCGCATTTATAAAATATTACTTAATAAAGTAAGGATTATTATCCTGGTTTTATACATTATACAAAATAGTAGCAAATTAAAAAATCGGCGGTTTTGGACGATTTCTTTGCCATTACGACAGACAGGACGAAATTAAAATTGTTTGGTATTTGGCACTTGACCATGAAACCCTAAAACATCACATATCTACGTAAACCAACGATTGTTCGGACTATACGATCAGCTAAGTTATACGTCTTATCCCAAGTAGCAAAATTCTCCTATAGCAATTGACTTATAAGATTACACGTCTTATAGAAATCTAGTAGACACATTAACTTAGGCCACTGATCCTGCCAAAGCATCTTCTAAGATGATTTGCACTACAAGTACTTTCGACCCTATCATTTAGTTTTATAAATGTTAATAGGATTATTTTACACGACTCTTACTAGAGCGGTCAGTCAAGTTCAGTCTTATAAGTGCAAGTTATAAAAGTTTATAGCAAAGTGTGACTTTTGATCCGATAATCGCATTTAGTAAGATCGTTTTATTTTGTTAACGTCTTGTTTCATTCTTCTATAGGACATGCACTTCCTATAAATGCAACAGATATAGCTGCTAAAGGTAAAGATATTATAGAAAAAAATTATCTTAGTCGTGAACCTTAACGGATTTTTAGCACCAAGCTAGCATAGCCTCTGATTTTTATAAGTAAAATTCTACTTAAATGTGTTCTACATTTGCTATTATTAGAGTAATCGGCCATCTTGTGATTTGTTAGAGAAAGCTGAAACAATATAAATATGGATTTAAAATAAGTGGAGACGATTTAAGCGTAGTGGCGGTTATCGAAGAAGAGTTTCGAAAAAGTACTTTGAAATGAAGTCGATATCGGAGTTCGGGTCAAGCGGATCAAAAAAAAAGTTCTTAAATAAAAAAGAGCCTGATGAAGTTGGTGAAGTTTGTGATGGTTCCGTACACGGCAAAATGGAAATAGACTTAGACAACTGTGAAGATAATTTTACAGAGAGTTGTAATGATCAAGAACATACGGAAAATGATAGCGGAAGCATTAATAGTGGATTTAATGATGGTGATCATACTGAGTTTGATAAAAATTATGAATTACAGGTGGATATAAAACAGTGGGCTATTAGGAATAATATATCACATTCAGCTTTAAATGAACTTTCAGCGATTTTAAATAAAAGGATAAAATATGCTTTACCTAGGGATGCCCGCACTATCCTTAAAACTAACAATAAAACAATAGACGTTACTACTGCGGGCACAGGACATTATTGGCATAACTGTTTAATAGATCAGTTAAGAAAGGTTTTAGCAATTGTAGATCAAATTCCAAATGTTATTTCGCTTAGTATAAATATCGACGGTCTACCGATATACAACAGTTCGAGACAACAATTCTGGCCAATACTATGTAGTATTTTCGAAATACCAAAGTTATCACCTCTGATAATTGGTAAGTAGACTTGTAAACACAGAAACACACAACTTACTTTTCTAACTTTATTACCTGTATGCTGTATGTTTAAGGTATTTATGCGGGGACCAGTAAACCATCAAATTTAAGTGCTTACCTTGATCCCATGGTAACCGAACTAAAACAACTTGAAAATGGGCTGGTAGTCAAATCTAAAACTGAACCACAACTTGACTTTTTGTAGGACTTGAAGGCAATGCTTTCTGTGACTTTTTAACTGCTTTACTATGTGTTTGTTTACATTTATATGAGCCTAAAGGTGACATTATCAATTATTCTTCTATCAAAGTAATTTTCTTTTTTCCCTGCATTTGCGTTGTCTAATTCTGGCCGCTAATCTGCTACTTTCCAGTTTTTTTTTACTTTTGCTTATGACATCCCGTTGTTTCGCCCTTCTAACTCGATCTCTTTCTCTTTCTTTCTTCAAAAACTCTTCAAGTTTTTCTGGATTATTCCTTAGTTTTTCCCGACTTTTCCTCTTTCTTGCAGCTGCATCCATACTGTAAAGATAAAATATTGCCAAAACCACATGGCAAGATTAGGTACATAAGCATAAAAGTTAGGAAAAGGACATTGCTCGTTCCCCATACATTGAATGCCCTAGAACGCCCAGCAATGAGAAAATTATAGTTGTGTTCGGAATCATTCATAAACTCTAATTAGGCATTTGTTGAGATACGGACAACTTGAGGAACCGTGGCCTACTACAGAATGTATTTGATTTTGAGGTTATAATTATTATACTTAATCGTAAAAGATGTACACTTTATATATTCTGAATACATTTAGTGTATTCAGAATATATAAAGCACTTAAATAATATGCATTAAATGAACATAAAATGCAATTAATAATAAAAATAATAAATGCTTATATTCATATTGATTAATGAGTGTAATCAGTTGGCACCTACGATACCTATACCTGTAGTAATAATAGATTTCTTTTCAAATGAAATGTTCAGTCTTTCCATTTACCTGTTTCTATATTTTACTATCGGTAATTAGGTATGTACCTGATTATCATTATGATTTTCATAAAATAAACAGATATTACATGGGATGGGAGTATAAACTATCTTTACATAATTTCAAAAATAATCTTTTTATAAATATAATACTAGTAATAAGTATTATTAACTAAGGTTTCTCTATTTTTCTTTTGATAAATACCTATGGTCGCCTCTAATGCATTTATTAAAGTAAACAATCTTGGCACAACTTTTTAACAGAATCACCCATTTAATAATAAAATATTAACGAAGCCAATAAACTATTAAAATAAATCGTTATTATAGACTGAAACCTTTTGAATCCAGTTATCAGTTGATTTTTAATGCTGTTTTTTCAATAAAAAGGAGTGCCAAGTTGGATGAATAGACTGTAGTATCTAGTTACAGAACTTTATTTTTTTATTTTTTTACACAGATTGTCCGTTTACTATGATTAATTGCTAATATGTTAAAAAAATAATAGAAAGATAATAGTGAAGGACATTCTTTTGGGCATGCTAGGGCCGATTTCGCCGATGTCCTTTCATTGCCTATTTATTATTAAACCATAAAATATATTATAGAGGACCTGGATGGCGCAAGTGGTTAGCGCGTTCGGCTGCGATCGTTGAATTTAAGCAACTTTCGCAGTGGTCGATCATTGGATGGGTGATCAAAAATCTTCTATCTCGAGTTCTTCCGTGCTTCGGAAGGCACGTTAAGCCGTTGGTCCCGGCTGCATCTACAGTCGTTAGCACCCGCCAATCCGCATTGGGCCCGCGTGGTGGGTCATGGCCCTATCTCCCTATTCCATCCATAGGGAAGGCCTGTGCCGCAGCAGTGGGGACATTAATAGGCTGATGATGATGATAAAATATATTTGGCATCCGGCTGTATGGCTTAGTACTTTTGCCTGTCCCATATGGATGACTGTTAGTAACAAGCCCAAGCCTTATTAATGAATCGAATTTTTACCCCACACATTAATCATGAATGAAAAGTCAACCCAAGTTTGTGACGGGTGTGACGTGTGACGGGCGTGACTAATAAATAAAAGCTTATATATCAAAATGAAGCCATTTTGTAAACATCAAAACTATTTCCACCCTTTGCCCCCTCAAATAACCTTACTTTCACAAAACGGTATAACATTTTAGCTGGTATAGCTAATGCAATCATAACTTTTCTATGTATTTTGTGTCGGGTGTGACACAAATACTTGCTGAACATAAATCGTAAAGTAAAATTATTGGTAATTACCTGAAGCAATCCAATTTTTCGCAGCAAACAAATAACTTCTCTTGCAATCAGTGACAACAGAAAACGGCGGGCTGTCAGTCAAAGTGACATATAAAAAAGTGTCGCCATTTTCGTATTATTTTTTACTACCAGTTCCAGCTTTAAGTTGTCTATGTTTGAACGAAAATATCATGAAAATTTGGTAAAAAAAACGGATTTTTCTTTCGGTTTATGAAAATTGATGATTAATAGCCCAGATATTTTATATATTAGTGATTGTTTGAATAAATAATTTATTTAGTTATCTGGTATCGATTACCACGGACTGACCCTAAAGTAAAATCTCCATCAGATTCATGAAGTGTATCGAAGAAGAATTTTATTGTATTCCTGAAACTTTTGAAGCATATTTTTATTTTATCTGTTTTCGAACCTCCAGCCCATGAACAATCCCTTAAAAAGTTTCTTTCAAATAAAACATCTAATAAAATGTAGGCATTGTTATAACCCTTTCCTTTGCCCTTACTGCATACAACTGAAATTTTATTCTTCAATTGAGAAATGACTTCCGGATCGTTAGTTGAAAGCAAATTTTCAAATTCTTGAAATTCTTTCAGACTGGCAATGGGCTTTATGTCTAAAGATTTGGTTTTTTCTTTTGGTTTAAAAACTTGTATTGCAATTTCTTCAAATTGCGTTTGCATTTCTGCAAGTTTAGAAAGTATGTTGTTTTGAATTCCAAATAGTACTTGTTGATTTTCGCTGATTGTATTTAAACTAGCCGTAACTGTTTTTAGGCCTTCTGATATTTCATCAATCTTTGTTGGTAATATATAATTCGTCAAACGTGGATCTTCCATTTGTTGCAAAACAATATCATTTTGTGGTTTTTCAGAAAAAGCTGGAATAGTTATAACTTCTGGCATAGCTTCTTGAGTAATAGTGTAGTTCTAAAAGAAAAGGAAATAGCTATATGACTATCTTAAAATCGAAGCAAGGTAGCAGATACTTGCAGTGATACTTACTGACAATTTATACGTAACATAGAAAAGCAATATGAAATGGACAAACGTTTAGTAGTCAGTATAGTTTTCAACCAACCTTTGAACATTCTTCGGCTACATCATTAAAAGTGATTTCTGTATTCTTGCTTGTGTTTTGCCTAGTACGTTTACTTATTTAGAGCTCAGTTTCGGTGTCTGAGTTTTCACACATTATGTCGATCATAGATTCTGCCTTTTCGAGACTTATTAAGTTAGTTCTTTTTAAAATGCAATTTTTTGCCGACCAATGTTCTTCAGGTACTGAATTTTCTATTTTTTGGAATTTCTCGGAGTTTTTTCTGGGCCAATATAAAATCACATCCTGTTCCCATTGCTGTGGTACAGCAACCAGGACAGCTTTCCCTCGCTCTATTGTTTGAACTATTTTGTATGGCATTATTTGAAAGTTTACAGCGAATCTGAAAAACAAGATAAGCAATAAGGATACCTCCTTACCGTACCTTCACTGAACTGACATAGGTAAAAATAGTTAAGATTTCATCATGAAATGAAGTAAACTTGCACATGCTAAAGTGTAGGTACGCAGATGCTCTAAGAATGGTGTCCGTGCGGCTTATATGGAATCTATACCTTCACACAACGCTCTATAGTGTTGAGTTCGGGTATACCATAAAAATATGTACCGCCTTGTTGAGGATTTTAAAATATACCCGACTGTAACATTCGTTTTGAGCATACTTTAAAAATGTGAACCGTCGTGTTAAGGATTTCAAAATATACCCAACCGCAACATTCGTTTGGGTCGGTATCAGATAAAGGGACGTTTATTTTATAGGTTAGAGATTGAGGTAAATTATACGAGAACAAAAGTGGATAAAAAACGTTTATTAGTTACTTTAAAAATAAAGTAATTATAAAATTAAAAATACTAATTTAGCGCGCATTACGGACATTCATTTTAACATTCTGGCCTAAGTTGTGCTTTCGTTTAGTTCTGCGTTCTGTATTAGACGGCCGCCCAGCTTGAATCCTAGACTTGGTCTTTCCTATTCCTCTATCTTTACGTCTACTCAGCGCTGTGCTTTGAACTTTAATTTTCCTTGGTACACGCCTTGTTATTATCTGATTTAAAATAAAGTTTTGTCCTTGCTCTGATGTATTAATTTTTTTGATTATATTTGTGAATTTTCCCAGTGCTCTTAGATTGTGGACAGTGGGGTTTGTTTCAAATAACTTTGTGAAGCGTTGTACTTCAGTCTTAAACTCTGCGAGTGCATTTTTATATTGGTGAGGGAATTCTACAGCAACCTGTTGCTTGTAAGATGAAGAATTGGCAACATCCTGTATCGGCTCTTGTGTATCGGAGGAAGAGGACTGTGGTACTACCTGTATCTGCTCTTGTGTATTAGAGGAAGAGCACTGCGATCCTATCGAATCCAAATCATTGTTCGGTGTTTGATCCAAATCTATCATATTCATGTAGAAATTTTCATTAATCTCATCCCCCGTCGCAATTCTTGCGAGTGACATTCTATCTTGAATAGACAGCCGAGGAGAATTGGGAAATATAACTCCAAAGTTTTGCTCAATGCTACACAGGTGCTTGCAGAATTTTCCACATTTTACAGCGTCACAGTCGCAAACGGCTAAATCGGCTCTCACAGTGTAAAAAGTATTTGGGCTTGTCTCTGATTCCACACTGTACTCATTATCGTTGACTTTAGATATATTTTTAATATTTCGAGCAGTCTTCATGAACATTGCATATATGGAATCCTTGGTTTTTCGTGTGTTGGCGTAAGAAACAATGCGACGCATAAAATAATTTTCAAAAATGGACGTTATGAAATCTACTAATGCGCAAGCATTAAATGCTTTACATCGCTGGAGTATGACGTCTTTAAGAATGCGTATAGATGCTTCTGTTATGTTGTTGGTGTTGTTTCCTCGCGTAAGTAAATCCAACCGATCAGAGACACACCATTCAGGCCGGCGTTTCCATAAGTTACTCAGATGATTTAATAGAGCTGGCATCGTCTTAACATCCTCGTCACCTGTCAATTCCTCATACAATTTTACTGCTTCTTCTGGATCAGTTATAAAAAGAATATTTCGAAATCGTGTCATGATGGACTGCCTTTTCATTATGTCAACCTTGTGATCTGCAACGCAAAGCCAACGCCAAAAGGCTTGGCAAACATGGAATACGCATAATAGTAATCGAGCATTTGGAAAAATAGTTCTCAAAGCATTTCGTTCGGCAGTAGAATCGTCCGTCATAACAATATCCGGCTCTAATTTTTTACCCGCCTCGTTCTTTTCTAC